AGGCGGTGTTTGTTTTTCCGTTACGTGGCAGGCTGCTACAGGTAGTGCTCATTTTTATCGAATTTTTTCAGCTTTTTTTGTTAGAATGTAGAGAATGGTCGTGCATTGTAAGTAAAGTGAATTATGTCGCGATATTTATTGTCCATGTCTAAAACTTTGTTTCAGTAATTTTGGCAGATGATATTGAAGAAAACTGGTGCTAGACAGTACTTGGCTAGTCATTGTCAACCCTAGCCAGCAGTGGAGGCTATTTAAATTCATTTTGGGATCTTGTTGCATCAATTGTAATTGATTAATTAATTTGTGAACATTTACACCATGCAAAACAGTCATAAAATTCCGTAAATCCATGTAAGTGATAACCTAACTGTAACATGTCATTTTATTCTGTTCTATTTGTTTAAAAGATTTAGTCTATAGTTAATTTCGTATGGTATTGGCGACAACGTTTGGTCAAGATGTTCATGTGAATCGCATATATTGCCATTGTTGCAATGCCCTGGGTATTTTTACATTGCCAGCTTTTTGAATTGCATGACGTCACACGTTTAGTTCGGCTTACGTCGGAACTGTTGTAGGTGGCGCAAAAATCATTACCCCGTTTTGACCGCCAAGTTTCCCTACCCTGCATTTTAATGAATCTTGTTCAATATGTAAACTCCGTGAAAGGCATCGAAATTTCCAGAATATTCCCTATTCTGTGAACAATCTATTCCATACCACTATACTAGCGATTACGAGTGTTTGCTGCAGCTTGCTGTTTGGTGGAATTTGGCTTAGTTTAACCTCTTCATCTTGAGTGGTTAAGCAGGTGGTTAGAGCGCGGTGTTTCTAAGGCGAGGAATTTCGAAAGATTTTGAAGTTTATTCAACAAAAAAATCACCATTTAATGATTAATAATCACCAACCAGTTGAAGTTAACTTGGTGTTTAGTTAGAAGGTATTCCTCGTAGTTGGTTAGAACGCACTAAAGTGTTTGAAGAATTAGTTTACACTAACTGCTCACATTCCGAAAATTTTTTTTGTGTTCCTTCTTGAATTAATGTTGTTTACCCCACAGGTTTAGTAATCGAAGTTCGACGGATCAAGTTAGTGCAAGCATTTGACGAAGTTTCTTTCAAGTACATTGAGAAGTCTTCAAGAGGTGACATTAAAGGCCGATTTTTGTACGTGTATTTGCTGAATTTCATCAGATTCTTGAATATGTCCGCAAAATTGGATGAGGTAAGATGATTACATGCACGGATAATGTATTTTAGATGTTTTAATTTAATGTCGATAAACTGCGACTTCGGGGTTCGAAGTAGCATGTTTGCAAGAACTCCACCAGAATCCCGTCTCTTGGGTTTACACCTACTGTACAAATTTGAATTATGAATCGATATAGCAACGAGGATTTGTTGCAAAATGTTATAGCAAGAAATATTCTCTCGTGTAATAGTTTGTTACATCGGCAATTTTGTCTTTTACTCATTTTTACTCCTCAATGAAGTGTTACGTGGATCACTTTTCCTGATGACTTATACGATTTGAGACTTTTTTTTATTAACTAGAGCATTCTTGATATTGATGCAAAGAAACTTTATAAATTGTTAAGTTGAAATTAGATTATTAATTTAATACTAATGATTTGAAACTGATGAGTTAACATAAAAGGTGCAACATGTATTAATTACACTATGTAACAATTTTTTTAAAAAAATGTTTCTGGTTTGACATTAATGATTTGTTTTATTGAGCAGTAAGAACATAGAAATAGTTGTTATAACCCTGAAACCTTGTTTTTGTGTCAGACACAACAATATTTACATACTTGTGAAACTCGTACACTCGTAAAACTAAACGTTTCATGGTTCCTTTCATGAGTTTGCAGGACTGATGTTAAAATGTATTATTGATTTAAAATATGACCCATTTTTCTTTAAATAAACATAAATTTGCAAATTTCCTTAATGACTATGCAAATTTTGACTTTTTGTTCTCTGGACTACAAAAGATAAGTTTTTGCAGGCAAGTAATCTTTTTTCATGTTTTTATGATGCAACCAATTAGAAAATATTGATAACCTACAAACAAAATTTTTGTTACATGTGTAATTTAGAAGTGTGGTACAGAGTGCATGAAATCAACCTTGAAATGTGAATGATCAAAATTTCATAAAGTGCTTTGATTGGCAAGTGGGTTTGGAAATTTTTTAAATATTGATAGAATTAAGAATTTTTAATACTAATTTTAGTTGGGATGTTTTTGATATTTGACGTGCGGTATTGTATATACGACAGTAATAATTACTGTTTAATCCAGGGAAAGACCAATATGAGATATTGATTATAATATATATGATTTGTTAGTTACAAGTATTACTTGTAGTGCATATTTACATGAAATTATATTTTGGGTAAATTAGATGTGTTCAGAAATGGTTATTTAGATTTTATGAGTATGGCTGTATTACCTTATCAGCCAGCATTCTGAAATTATGATTTGGACACAGAAAGAGAAACTAATTATTAAGTGTAGCAGTAATTGTACATTTGGTGAAGACATGAATATTTCTTGATATCCGAGAAGTGTACCCAGAAAACATGCATATTATGCAGGGATTGAAGTTTTTTGGTGCATATTTTGCTGGCTTTGAAGATTTTGGACTTAAAAATTCAATAATTTCAAATTTTTTTTGTTTTTGCATAGAAACATATTTTTAAATTTATATTATCAATTAATACAAAGCCTAAGTTCCTTGATCAAATACACATATTCAAATCTTTTAGAGGGCTGTTAGCCAGGGCTCGCAAATTAAAATTTGTTGAGGTAATGTAAATATCAAGGGGTAAATAATAAAATTTGAAGATTCTCAAATGTGAAAATACATCCCTTTAGCTCAGATGTGTTGAAAAGAAATGTGCACCCTCATGGTGTGGAAAGACCTTTTTTGAACTGCAAGACTATATTGACTCCTAGGAGATGCTTTGCAAAAGAACATAAAATCTTTGTATGATCCTGTGTGTTCTTTATTCAAAATCAAATTTGCAGATGTAGGTAATGGGTTTCAAATTTAATGTTTCTTCTATAATAATTTGTAGTAACTCTTTCGCTAGATAGCAAAACAAAGTTAATGGTTTTAGAGAACACTTGTTACAGAAGCAAACACTTAAGGTTTTTACAATTCTGTGCATTCATTAATATTTTTGTAGCAGGTTTGTGTGCATAATTCAGGGTTAAAAAGTTGCGTAAACTTCCCATCTCTAGTTACGAATTATATTTTTGTAATGTCACTTAAAAAGATGGTGAGACTTTAAGTGTAGCTTATTATTACCTACAAGCTAACAAATGTATTCCCTTGGTTGTTTCAGCTAAAACTTGATGTAGCTGAATTGAATCAGCTGCTTGCAAGTGCAGAACGTCAAAAAGTCAAAGATATTCTGCTAATAGAAATTCGTAAATTAGAAACAGAAATAACACGCTTGAAAGAAATTGAAAATGCAAAGGTATCTCAGGCTGAGAGCAAAACAAATCAAACTAAGCCCAACAGGTGTTATGATGTGAAATTAAATAATTATGGTAAATATTAGTACTTTTTATAAATTATAGCTTTCTCTATAGATTGTAGTATTATTAATCTGGAGTGTGGTTTTAAACAATTTTGGTAATTCTAGCTTGGGATCAGTCTGATAAATTTGTGAAGATATTTGTAACTCTTAAAAACGTTCATACTCTTGAAGAAGCTAACATTTCTTGCATCTTCACCAACAGGTATGATGTTAGTTCACGTATTTTGTAGAGATAATATGCGAAGCAAATCAGAATTACATTAACATTCTTATTTCAGATCTATGGAGTTAACTGTTCGTGGATTGGATAATCGTAATTATATTTTACCAATTTCTAACCTCCTTGACGATTTAGATGTGAATAAGTGTTATTGGAAAGTTAAAACGGGTAAGTACATTTATTTTGTGAGATAAATTGATACTACTCTAACTTTCTGGGGAATTACTCCAGTCACAAAATTTGCAATATGAAAAATTTAAAAATTCCAATCGTATTTTAATATTACAAATTCAATTTTTCTAACCCTATTCTCTTGTCTTGAATAAGCTCTTCTTGAAATAATCCTCTAGAGATATGCAAAATGGAACTCATTAATTTTCAAAAAATCAAAAGTTTTAATTAAAATGACCCTTCACAATTGATTGATGTGACTTCCATTTCCGATGTAAATTTTGGTCAGATTTCTATTTGACCTTTTAATATTGTTTATTATGTATCTAATACTGCATATTAAAGCCTATTATAGTCCTTATTGATTGCGTGTATCTAAATACATTATAGGCTTCTCATAGTTTCAAAGAAAAAAAAATTTCCATGTATTTACACTTCCCGCAATTGACACCATTTTACCTATGGTAACAGAGAGAAAAGATAATTGTTTCTGTATTTAATAGAAGAAATATGCTGGGGGCATAATGATACCACTGGTCCATATTTTTTCAGACTAACCAAGGTCATGTGTCACACACTTCCCTTCTTCTTGAGACACTTGAACCATTGACACATTTCTTTATTGGTCATGGTTTCATCACCCCCTCTTGTTATAATTCACTTTATATTCCGTTCCAACACAAACTATAATGATGAATGAAGTTCTTACAAATCATTATTTCTCCTTTTTTATTTTCTTTTGTTTACAGATACTGTTGTAGTATTTATGGCAAAATCTAAAATTGGATCCAGTTGGTCTCATATGACATCTTCTGATAAAAAAGCCAAAGAACCCAAATTACCGAAATTTGATAAAAATGATGACCCTTCAGCTGGTCTAATGGATATGATGAAGCAGATGTATGAAGATGGAGATGATGAAATGAAACGCACCATTGCTAAAGCATGGACTGAAAGTCGTGAAAAACAAATGAAAGACTTTTAGAGTCTAAAATGTATTTGAGACATTTTTTTGTGTTGTAAGTAGCTTTGATTCTCAAAAGAAGATGGCAACTGTTACACTTAAAGTATTTATGAAACATAGAGATGGTTATCTTCCAGTTAAGAAGTGTTCACTTAACTATTTTAATGTGAAGATCAATTTCTTCCAAGTACACTGTCAGAAAAATCAGCAGATGCAAAGCTTTTAATTTTGATTTATAACGGGTTTTTAATGAAAGTTTTCTGATGTTTTCTATTATCCAATACGGCTTGTTTTTGAAGACTAGGTGTCCTTAAAATACTTAGCTTATTGAAAGCCAGTATTAATAGAATAATTCACTGAGGCACTTCTTTGAAAAAGTTCAAAAATATGTAAAGTGTTTTTTTTTTGTGACTGTAATATACTTATACTGTATGTTTGTAATCACATGTAAAAAATACATTGCTTTTTATTGTTAAGTACTTTGTTTTAACAATTTCTTCTGGAAAAAAGGCAATTTAAATGAATATAAGAATACCTCAAAATGAACTTCATGGTGTATTAAACATTGCAATTAGTATTATCTTTTGGAAAAGTTTCAAGAAAACAATTGGAGCAATTTTTGTGTAAATGGCGTTGAGCGTTTCAGAACATGCAGTATTTTCAACTCGAAAAACCATTGCATTTTTGACAAACTTAATACGACATAATTTAAAGCATATCAACTCGTAAATGCAATAATGTGAAGAATGTGCCTCTGATGTGAATATTAAAGACATGAGAGGCTAGTCAAAAAAATTATTATTTTTGAAAGAAGACAAAAAACGAATAGAGCAATATAGTTGCGCTAAAACATTCAATTTTTGACACAAAAACTCTATTGCCAGGTCATGGTATGGAAAACGTGGATAAATCCAGTTACTAGATATTGAGAAAAAATTTCCTTTAACACGTGGTGTAGCCAGATTCCAAGTTTTGTGGGTCCTTGATACCGAAAAATCGATTGACAGTAAAATTTTTGTGTCCGTTAGTCTCTACACAACGCTAGTGCATAACCCGTACAGCCATATTCTGCAAAATTGATATTCCCCAATTGTTCTAGCTCATTTTGTGCACCCTGGAATTTGAAATTTATATTTTAATTTTGGGGGAGATTACATGAAGCCCTGGAATGTTTACAGAAAAATGGCACAATTTTTTGATTAAATGTTGTTGAATTGTGCAGAGGATGAAGAGAATGGTGCACATCTCATTTTCGGTGACATCCCCAACTTTTCGAAAATTGGGAAAAACTTTCTAAAACGTCAAAATATAGGTAGAGATTTTTGTGTCAGTCTGTTGTACTAAATTAGCTTTTGTAAAAAGGAGTAGATTGTGCGATTAAAATTTTTAAAAAAATCTCAAAAACAGCTCAGAAAAATATTGTTTATTTAAATTTTCGTCACTTGTGTAATAAGATTGTTGGTTGTACCAAGGAGGCCTTGAGGTGTTGGACGGTTCATGTGCGGATCCTCGTATTTTAGTTAATTTCCTGATTTGAACTAAAGAGCTGACTATTGAAGGAGTATCATCTTGTTCTGTGAGCTATTGACAACATTTTGCCAAACATTTAAGGTGATTTATTTATATTGGAATTTTGGTGTAGACCTTGGGTCCTCCAAGATGGAACATGTTTCACCATTACCTGAAGCTATCTTGTCAGCACTTAGAATGTTTACAATTGTGATCCATATCAAAATGTCTGCTGAAAGTGTATCGGCTGCAACATTCCAATAACTCTTTCTTCACGCAGCCTACTATGAATTATGACATGACTAGTGAACACAATGGACTCAATTCTTTTAACTATTTTATTTCAAGTTGCAACCAGAACAAATGCAAAGCTATCCAAGCTTGCTAAAAGCAACGTAGTGGCATCTCTGCCCCCTGGTTCTTCACATAGCGCCTATAATGTACCATTAAGCAATAGATTTCAAAATCTACCTTCTGAAGGAAGGGTAACTGGTGAAGAAACTAATAACAATGCTCCCATACACCAATTTTCATTCACAACTATAATAACCTTGCAGAACTAATATCCAAGTTAAAAGTAATTTTACAGCATAACAAATTTCAAACAAAAGTTCAAGGAGTATATATAATAGTGCTTGTATCAACAATTGAAGATTATTCTGAACTGAGAAGCAATTTAACTGAAAAAAAAATAAAATATTATATCATGAAAACAATTTCAATCATAATCCCTTGACATCTTATTCTGATCTTGAAATATTAAATTAACTCCTTTGTATGATTTTCCCAGCCCTCACTGTTATTCGTGTAACAGATGAATTAAAAAATCCATTGCCGTTGGTAGCAGTCACATCAACAAAAAATGAAGCTGTCAAGAAAATATATGAACTCTTACACTTTTTAGTGACGTAATAAAAGTCTAACAAAGAACACATTGCCCAGGCCCAGTCCGATGCAGAAATTGTCAGACGTTTAGGCACACAAAGAAGAACTGCAGGTTACCTATACGCTGTGGACGCTGTTCGGCAAATCATGTTACCTTGAAGTGTATTTCTTCTGAAGAAGCATGTGCAAACTATAAGCAAGCCCTCGCATCCTCCAGTAAAAAATGTCCTCCTTTCATCAGTATTTTGAAACCAAAAAAATCCTTTTAATCCTTCTAATAAGATAATCAATGAAGATCCCAGGCTAAACTTAAACTTAAATCAAACTACTGCTCACTTCACTAATTAACATTTTTCTTCCCCAACCCCACAATTGAGAAATACCTTTAAATCCCCTCTGTAAAAACCTGTCCTGTATATTCAGAAAAAAGTTTTTAAAAAAAAAGTTGTTATATAATTTTTTTTAAAAAAACTTTTTTCTGAATTTACAGGACAGGTTTTTACAGACGGGATTTAAAGGTATTTCTCAATTGTGTAAATTGTGTGTTTCTCAAAGATATTTCTTAACACTTCATTTAATGAACAAATAAATTGGTTTGCCTTATCAATTGCTAACCAACTTCAATCTTTAGTAGCCAAATTGTTGTTAAACCTAACACTCACAAGAATTCAAAACTCCCCTGAGGACATTCAAAAGAAAATGAATATTGATAAAAAATTATTTCATGGAATGCAGATGGAATTAAAAATAAAATACCTTTACTTTCTTATTATCTACAACTGTATAAAATATTCATGTGTTTAAGAACCTCTTGTCTCCAAATAAATTTTATGTTCCTGGTTATTAAATATACAAGTCAGGTCAAAAAAATTTAACTACTTTTGGACATAAAGGAGTAGTAGCAATCGTGATTAAAAACTCAATTGAACATTACCAACAAATTCTCTTTCTAGCCATGCATTTGAAAATGTAAGAACCTTAGTAAACTTAAAATAATTAAGCTCCTTTTGCATTTCTTCACATTATAGACAACCGAAGGAAATATACAGAAGTGGTGATATTTTATCCTTCTTTACTTCACACCCCCATACCTTTGTTGCAGGTGATTTTAATTCTAAACATTCTGCTTAGGGAAGTAGACTAGGCCTTAAGATCATTGACCATCAAATTTTTCCTTCTCTCTTTCTTTAATCTACAACAAACCTGAAAATTCATTTAATCTTCATAAAGTAAATTGACCATATTTAAAATCTAGGTTTTCAATTACTTTCCTTAATATCACCTTTAGGCACAATTACACAAATTATTTCATTTCTCTGCTCAATTTCCATTTAAACTCACTGACTCATTTAACATTGATACTCGACCTATCCTTCTATCAGTATACAAATTAATTTTACTCAAAAGAAAAGTTTGTAATTATTGGTTTAAAAAACTGTTCCCTGTATCTAAAAACAACAATTACCTTGCAAAAACTGTACGTAGATTATTGCATTTCAATCACATAAATCATATATTCCGTCAAATGTGTTACACAGCTTTATGGAATATCACTTGAAAACTTCTAAGGAAGCAAACAATAATTCCATCCTTAAATGTACAAAAGAAGTATGTACATTCACCTCAAGAAAAATGTGATTTATTTGCAGACAATTTGGCAAATGTTTTTAAGCGTTGTGAGTCTTTTAATACTGATGATGATTCATTTGTTCAAAGTTCTATTTCAATAGAGATTCCAACTGTTAATAAATTTGCCTCTAAAATTATCCTTTGGGCTAGATTCTATTTCTCCATTTACTATTAAACAATTTTCATTTCCACTTGTACGATACACTGCTACATTTAATGTCTGTCTGCTTTTAATATATTTTCCCAAATCATGTAAGCATGCCCAAGTTATTTCAATTCTTAAATATGGAAAACCACCAGAAAATCCTTCAAATTACAGACCAATTAGTTCACTTCCATCTTTAAGGAAAATTTTTGAATGATACATTTTTATAGACTTAATCTATTCTTAAATTCTGTAAATGCCATTCCTGACTATGAATTTGGCTTTTGCCCATGAACATGGCATATAAAATTAATACATTAAAATGCAATGCAAGCATTTTTCCTTAGGCAGATATAATGGACCATCTCTCACATATCAAAATGAACGAACAAAATATTTAGGAGTATTAATGCACAGAAAACTCCATTGGCGAAATAATATCGCCCATAGAATTTTGTTGGCTTATAAACGATGGCATCAGCTACTTCCTCTTGTTAAATACTCTTCTTCACTAACTATATTCACTATAGTACATATTTATAAAACAATGATTCAGCTTATAATATCCAATGTGTGTCTGATTTGGGGATCATCTAAAACCAACAAAATAATTTTTTTCAGAATAGCTGTCTAAGAACTGTAGCCCCTAGGTTTAATTCAAATGTACAAATTCATTCTGAGTTAGAAATACTTCCAATTCAAAACTTTTGTTTCTTCAAATTTCGGCAAAATTAATAATATTCCATCTGCACTTCATTTTGAACTTGGTAGGCATTATCCCCATCGTAACCGACTAAAACGCAAATTACCAAAACAGTTCTTCGACCATACATAACTCATTTCTTGGCTGAACTGGACATTGTGAAATAATGGCTGAGGTGTTAGTAGCGCAGAAAATGCAATATTTCAATATTACGTAGCTGTTTCCAATAATGGTGGGGGAATTCAAGGTACCTCTGGAAGGTAGATAATACGAAAATAACAGAGCAGGCTGAAAACAATCTACGTTCAAGCCATACGGAAACCGGAATTCGCAGTAGAAAATGGTGCTAGTATGAGCAAGACGCCGCCGAAAGTTCCTGCCGGAAACGAGGGAAATCGGTCGGAACGGAAATAGGTCAGACAAGCGTGTAACATCATTGGTTTTCACAGCGAACACAGACACGAGCTTTCATATATAGTTATTTATTTACAAGTAACACAAATAGTAGGTACAGTTGAATTATCTACACTTTACTCACCAGTTCTGATAGACATACTATCCCCTAATCGTGGGACCGATCCAAATCCGATTGATGATCGGTTTAATTCGTGGTTCGCCTCTCCTACATTTTAAACGCGCACAAAGCCAATCTTCCCTGACCGGATGTCACTCTCACCAAGTCCTTACAGGCGCATCAACCAATGACTTGCCTTGATTGCAGGAGCGATCTTAACCGATTGATGATCGGTGCGAATCGTGGATCTCAAGCACTCCTCAGCTCGGAGCACGCACACCGTATCACTCCCAAGTGACCGCAGTCACACATGAAAGACGAAGTCCCCACAGGTGCCCCGCGAGCCCTGCTCGCCGCTGCACCGCCCTGGTGCAAGTTTTATACATCAGCACTAGGTT